ATCAGGTGCCCTAAGTCACAAAATCCAGGTGGTCCAATCCTTGTGGCCCTAGTCAAATGCCCCAGGAGTAAGTAGGGTTTTAATGTTCTTTCTCTATACCACAATGCCATATTTTTTCAACACTTGACCCAGAATTTTAAAGGAGAAACAGTTTATGCTTTGGGAATTAAGTACAGTGAAGCCATAGGAGTTAAAAGAACAAACCACAAAGGAAAACTAAGGGGTTCCTTCTCGACAGGGCTGGACTGGGGAAAGGTGAGGAGGCACCTCAGCTGCAGAATCAAAGGGGCATCTGTTCCCAGGTCCTCAAGTGCCTCCTTATATAGAGAGGTCTGGACTTACCTCATCCTAGACTCTGTCCTGTTTCTAGAACTTTCATCTTCTGAAAGTCAGGAGTTTATATTTTGTTTTAATAAAAGAGGTTACTCCCTCACAAGTCTTCTGCCTTAATAAATGATGCTTGATAAATTAATGAACTGTTGTTAAAAAGTGGGGGGAGGTGGAGAAGAAGGTGATTAAAAAGGAAATGTGCTAGAATTCAAAGAAACCAAACCTGTTAGTAAAACATCTGAGTAAGAATATGCAGGTTATTGCCTTTTTTTTCTATCATTCCCCCGACCCCAACAAATAACTCTTTACTATACAGTACAAAGGCGGCTATAATCTCAGTTATTTAAACAGGTGTGAACTATTTCTTAACATCCTGCTACTTCTCCAGGTATTTTTACCTTTTGGTTCAACTCTGTCATCACAAACATAAGAATTGGTCAATGCCCTCTGACCTGGCCCAAGCTAGGCACTTTAATTTATCAAGCATCATTTATTGATAAGCATTTTTAATTCAAGATCAGCCTCAACATACTCTTAAAAAGAGATACTGGCATGGATTTATGGGACAGATGAACAAGGCAGGGCAAAAAATTTAATCCAATAAGTAAAAGATAATGAAATCAAAGATTTAAACTAGTCAAAAATGAATGTATGGTGTGTTTTGTAGTAGAGAATGCTACTACATTACAGCTAGAAAAACTAGATTTGAATCACTGAGTTGTCACATGTATAAATGTAGAAATTGCATCAAATAAACTCTTAGGTTCTTTCAAACTCTAAGAACCTGTAATTCTACTTTTGGATAAGAAAGCCAAGGAATGGGGTCAGGGGCTACATACTTAGACTGGAGTTCAAACAGATCTGCCTCATGAGGGGAGGAGATGATGCAGTTCTTGTTTTCTCCATTCATCCTAATACTTGCTTACTTCTTAAAATTACTCAGGCCAAACAATTGATAAGCATTTTTAATCCAAGATCAGCTAAAACTAAACAAAARTTGAAAGACATCATCTCTCAAGATTACATTGTTATTTCATTCATGCAGCCAATAATTTAATAAATACCCAATAAGAATTTGCTTTATGCAAGGCACTGTGCTATGGAGATTATACAAATGAGCAATTTCTGTCTAAACTTGAAAGCTGATGGGTTTTCCTGCTCAGTAAGGACACACAGCATCAAAATAAAATGCAGAAGTTCCACAGAAGAGTACTCCTGGGCCAGGTCTATCATCAGCATCAATTGTATCCGGTACCTTAATGTAACATCTGTTCTGTTTTTTAACTTCCACAAAATCCACAAAAGCCTGTGGGGTAGGAGAACAGCTTTCTGGATTGGAATTCTGTCCTCACTTAGAGCTAAGTCACCTAGAAGAGGTAAATTTCCCTTCAGTTTCTTCACCTATAAACTAGAAGTATTAATAGTACCTTATTCAGGTTGTTGGGAGGATTCAATGAGATAATAGAAAAAAGCAGTTTAAAATAATGCCTGGCATGTATTAAATATCCAGTAAATGTTAGTTATTATTGTTGTTATTATTGCAGAAGTTCAGAGGAATAAGTGGTTGATTTGACTTGGGAGAGGAAGAAAAACTTCATAAGAAGGCAATGTTAGAATTGGGCACTGAAAGATAGGTAGCAATTGGGTACCAGTGCAGTAGTGCACATCTGTAATCCCAGCTACTCAGGAGGCTGAGGCAGGAGGAGAGCAAGTTTGGAGGCCAGCCTGAGCAACCTTGTTTCAAAATAATAAAGGCCTGGGATGTAGCTTAGCAGTAGAGCACCCATGGGTTCAATCCTTAGTACCGTTATCAGAAAAGACAGYTTGAAAAGCAATTCAGAGCACCACTGTAGATGTTTAATATAAATCACAAGGTTTTTTTCTATCAGTTTCCCTTCATCCCCAGTCATGTCCTAGAAATTAACACAGTAGTTACAAAATATATAAAATCATATTATTGTAGACAGTATTGCAGGCTTTTTGAGTAGATAAGCCATATTAAAAACCATATTAAAAACCCTTATGTGATTGCTCTGTCCCTTTCTGGAAACAATCTGTTAGGTACTGTGAAATTCTTAAGTCTGGGGGCTGGGGATGTGGCTCAAGCGGTAGCTGCGCTCGCCTGGCATGCGTGCGGCCCGGGTTGGATCCTCAGCACCACATAAAAACAAAAGATGTTGTGTCCGCCAATAACTAAAAAATAAATATTAAAAAAATTCTCTCTCTCTCTCTCTCTCTCTCTCTCTAAAAAAAAAAAATTCTTAAGTCTGAGAATCCATAAACAAGTCTCAAGACAGGTTAAAATCACTTAACCTCTCTGGGCTTCAATTTTCTCTTACAAAATGATGTACTACTGTTACTTCATGAATGGAAAAGAAATACTGAGAGGGCAGAAAGGCTATGCCAGGAAGGGAAAGCTTACCAACTTCTTTGGGTTGACACAGGACACACATTCAACAATGATGTGAATGCCCTTTACATACCTGAATTATATAAGGCATAAGGAGTTTTCCCACATGCACAGAGAAAAGGAGCAACTCCAAATGAGATGATGTGTAACAAAAACAATATGAACTTTGCAGGCAGACCTGAATCTTACCTGGTCCTGTCTCATTTACCCGTTCTGTGACCTTAAGGCAAAATAGCCAGAAACTGGTATGCTCTTTCACACYACTGCTGGGATTTTTATCAAACAAGCAATGTGGATCCTGAAAGGGTGTTTCCTCTCCCTGCTTCAGCCACTTAGAAGCCAGTTAAGGATCTAATGACACCCATTTCAGAAAGTCCTCCAGTTTCATCTTATTATGCTAATCCTTATGCCCCCTTGTGGGGTCATTCTGATTTTTCAATTCAAGTGCTTCAGATCTTCACCTCATGCCCTTTTTAAAAACTACTCTGAGCCTAAAATTAATATCATAAATTTACCTCTCCCATCAGGCATCCCCTCCACCTCTAAACAGAAGCTTTTGGACTTGTTTGTATGTATATTGTTATTAACGTGCTTAGCAAAGTATTCTTTAATTAATAATAACATCTAAGAGTTCACAATTTAATTGGTCAATATCAGATGTTTTTGATATTGGCTAATGTCCAGATGTTTTTTGCCAAATCTACGCCCAATCAAAACTAATTTTTCATGTGCATTTTCAGGACATTGTTTAAAAACAGTATATTTTAATGTGTTAATGAGGTCTTGTCTTTATCTGCATATAATACATCATTTGTCTCTCACTGCTTCCTAGTAAAATTGGTTTGATGGCATTATTTTTTATTTTCAACATGGGAAAGCAGATTCTGTAGGTTTGTTGTGCCATGGCGAGATGAGAATTCAAGTCTTCCACTTTCAACCCAGCGATCTTTTCATTCTAATACCCTGCTTCTGGGAAATTCTAGAATTGAGCAGCAAAGAACAAATACTAAAGCAGCTTACTTTTTCCCTAACAATTCGGAAATGAACAATAATGGGAATGACTAAGAAACACATAATAAACATATCCATCAACTGGCAAGACATGTTAAAATGAAGGCTCCATCAGACTTTTCTCCTCAGTGCTCTACCACTGAACTTTAGTGCCAGCCTTTTAAATTTGTTTTATTTTGAGGCAGGGTCTCAACTAAGTTGCCCAGGCTGGCTTTGAATTTGAGATTCTCTGGCTCAGCTTCCTCAGTAGCTGGCATTACAGGCATACACCATACCAATGGGCTCCATCAAACAAAATTTAAAAACACTTGCAGGTATTTCCATAGTATTTCTCTTATCCAACCTCAATTCTCACTAATCTTTCACAGATCTATAGTCAAATCTATAGTGGTGATGGAGGGACTTCACTATTTGTAAGACAAAGAAAGGAAAGCAATGTCAAAGAATGTGCCATGCAATATTATCCTAGCACTTTAGCTAAAAGTGACCCTTCACTCTGCCACCCTAGATCTCCTCTACACTCAGCTTATGGTGTGCTCCTGGTTAACAGTTGTCCAAAGCCCGGGTTATTTACTCTTCTTACTTTAGAAATAGGTCCAATATAATTATTGCTAATAAGATCTGTTGGCTTTTATAATCTCTCAGTTGTGATAAGGATTATCACTTTCATACTACCCTAGCTTGTTTTTCTTGAAAAAGTCAATGAGGCAAAGAGGAAGTTGTCTCTTAAAGGTTACTTATCTTTGATCACTACTACCACCACCTTTGAGAAACAAACTATTATAAAAGTGTTCAAAGGGCAATTTGGGCTTGGCTGACCCCTCCTCAGATCCTTGCTCCAGGAAGAATGGTGATGAGGGTGCCCAGTCCTTAGTGTGCAAAGCACCCGGACTGCTGGTCCAAACCACAAGTTGGCATCTATGTGGGAGGACATGGGACCAGACCTTGACCTTGACAGCCCCTCCGCTGCTTGCTGCTAGGGGGAGGCTCAGGGCGGTCACAGGACTAGGGTGGTGGCGTGACAGCCTTTAGGCGACCCGGGAGAGGCTCCGGGTGTGTCCGCGCGGGGACAGTGAAACCGTCCGCGGTGGATTCAGCAGCAAAGGCCTGCCCACCCCTTCGCGGCCACGGGGATGCTCAGTGGCACACCGGTCTCCCCTCCCGCTCCCCGCGCCTCTGGYTACCCAGGGCTGGGCTCGGGGACAGCAGTTGTGTGACGAGGCGCGGGCGGGCGGGCGGTGAGCCCTACCTCCTCGGTGACCGTGGGGCAGTAGGAGATGAGCACGAGCGTGGTGACCATGTTGATGACGAGGCCGATGAGGGTGATGGTGTTGGGTGCCATCCAGAGCGGGATCCACTGGAGCAGCCAGGTCCAGTAGAGCTGCAGCGGCGGCTCGAGCACCGAGACGCCGGCCGCGTTGTAGCGGTGCTCCTCCAGCCGCCGCAGCTGCGCGGCGCTCAGCGGCTCGCCCAGCGCCTTCAGCCAGCGCGGYGCCGGCCTGGCCCCGGCCCCCGCCGCCATGGCCGCCTGCGGACCCGCAGCCGCCACCAAGCGCCTGCCGAGCCGGGCCGGGCGGGGAGAGGTGGAGGGAGGGGCTCGCGGCCGGGGCCTGCGCCGGCCGGTGGGTCTCGCCGGTGGGGCCGATCCGCCGCGGTGGAGGTCAGGCCGGGCCGCCCCAGGTCCCGGCCCCSGCCTCCGCCCCCAAAGCGGCGGGGCGGCCGGAGCAGTGGCTGGGGGCGGGGCCTTGGGAGGGGCGGGGGCGCGAGGCGTGGCTGGCCGCGGACACTTCCCGAAGGGCGCGCTAGGAGGCTCCTGCCTTGCTCAAGGGCCTCCTGCACCTGCCTCTGAGATCTGATTTCTTCCGCTACGTGAGKGAAGTCTCGTCGGCTGGACGGTTACAGAGCCGCTTCCTCCACCTGGCGGTGGTGGGCACAGCTGGGTTCTGGGCCTACGCTGTGGCTTCGGGCTGATCACCGCAGCACAATGCTGCCTAGAGCCCAGGAATTTTCAAGTGAGAACATGAATTTGCAGATCTTGGGTCCACCACCATGATAGCCCCATCTGGGCAGCTTGGAAACACAAGCCTGCGGGCTTTAGTTGCCGGGTCAGAGGACGAGGTTTTGAAAATTAAAAATAAATAAATAAATAAAATTTTAAAAGAGAAAAGAAAAAAAGGGGGGAAAAAGTCAGGGCTTGGAAAATACTAACAAGGAGACTGGATGTTTGAAACTCAAATGCCAATTTTTCAGGTCATTTGACACCAACAACAATGGATATTTTTAGACACGCTCTTCCTTGGAATAGAAGGCAGAAATCCAAGTGTGTCCTCTCATTGCACCGTGGAGCAAGCAAGCTTGCCACACAGTGGGAGTTCACCAGTCTTTTACCTCACAATGCACCCACTTGGGTAGGGGACATCCTGTCATAAACATAATTTATTGCACAGATAGGTCTGTCACTTGCCTAACTCTTCACTTGGTGATTCTGATCTATATGCACTTTTCTAAGGCATAAGATAGGCTAGAAACTACTTCCAGATACTTATATTGGGCAACATCTTTTGAGCAGGTGGRTTTTGCCCCACAGGATTCATGACTACGTTTTGGAGCAGAGAGTCAGCAAGCTGCTCCCTGCAGGCCAAACCTAGCCCACCACCAGTTTTCCTGAAGTTTAAGAGCTAAGTATGGTTTTTGCATTTTTAAATGATTGGGGAATACTCAAAAGAACAGTATTTCATGATGTGCAGTTTATGAAATTCAAACTCAGTGCCATGAATAAGGCCATGTTTATTCTAGTAGAGTTCAGGGGTTGTGACAGAGACCACAATGTCTAGAATATTTACTACCTGACCCTTTACCAAAACAAAGTTTGACATCTCCTGCCTCAGAGCAATATCAGAGCAAACCTCTCATTAAATATATTTCTGGTGATTTTTAATGTGAAAAAATGGTGCTTGCAAATGCAGAAAGATTCACTTTTAAYTATGCTGATTCTATGTGCAGTGGACTTGGAGATAATTACTTTTTTTAAAGAGATAGAGAGAATTTTTTAATATTTATTTTTAGTTTTCGGCGGACACAACATCTTTATTTGTATGTGGTGCTGAGGACTGAACCCAGCACCACGCGCTTGCCAGGCGAACAGGATATCACTTGAGCCACATCCCCAGCCCCAAGAGATAATTACTTTTTAATTTACCAATGCCATGACTGTAACAAGGAAAAAAGTCCCTTTCCAAATTAAAAAATCTAAATATGTTAAAGATAATTTCTATTGTACATCAAAAGACATACTAAAGAAAATGAAAAGACAAGCTATAAACTGAATACATTTCCTTCAAGTAACATCCACAATAAATAGTATTCAGATTACATAAAGAACTTCTAAAATAAGTAATAAATTAAAATAATCAAATGGGCTTATGTTCATATATCTATAGCAAAAGCTCCAAACATGTTGACATATACAAAATATAAGSTTATTTTTCTTTTACATAAAAGAAGTCTAGAATTGGCATTCTGGGGTTGGCATGATAGTTCTGTGGTCATCAGGAACGCCAGACTCTTCTGTTTTGGTTTTTTTTTTTTTTCTGCTCTAACATCCTTTTATGTATCTACAAGGTTATCATCTAATGGTTCAAAGTGGCTGCTGGAGTTTCAGCCATCATATCTAGATTTCAAGCAGCAAGAAAGAGGAAGAGGATGAAAAGGAAATAGAGGAGGTGGAGGAAGAGAGGAGGGTGAAGGGGAGGAGGAGAGTGCTACCACTCAGCTGAGCCAGCAAACTAGAGTACCATTCCAAAAGTCTCAATACTTCTACATACAATTKGTTGGCCAGAACATAGACCTACCTAAATGCAAGTGTTAGTAAAGATGAGTAGATGAGTACAACCATTTGCACAATAATCTGGCATTATCTGGTAAAGTTGAATATTCACATACTCTGCAACATGACAGCACAATTCTGATCTAAAAGCCTATCCTAGAGAAATTTTTGCACAAGTATCCTAGGAGATAGGTGTAATAATATTGCCGGTACATTTGTACATCAACCTAAAGCTAGAAAATAACCTTAGTGTCCACCAATGCTAAGTGGGTTAATCAACTTGGAATTTTCATATAATTTATGTAAGTTTAATATAGCAGTGAAAATTAAGGAACTTCATTTTTTTTGTGTGTGTGTGCTTTGTTGTTGTTTGGTTGATTTGTTTTGTTTGTTTTTTGTTTTTTGATACTGGGGATTGAACTCAGGAAATGCTTTACCASTAAGCCACATCCCCAGCCCCTTTGTATTTTGTATTTTGAGATATAAGTTCTCTCTAAGTTGGTTAAGGTCTTGCTTAGYTGCTGAGTCTGATTGGAACCTGTTATGTTCACTTATTCATATGAATTGCACAAGTTTACTGTTGAATGGGGTGGGGCAGGTGTATTAGTTTGGGCTGTCAAAACAAAGTACCATAAACTGGGTAGCTTAAACAAACATAGAGATTATTTCTCACAGTTCAGGAGGCTAGAGAGTCCAAAGTCAAGCAAGCTGCCACCTGGTTTGGTTCCCAGTGAAAGCTGTCTTTCTTACTTGCCTATAGCCCCTCCCATCTATGTCCTCACATGGGTATGGGACAGGAAGGAGAGGGGCAGAGAAAAGGAGAGAGGAGAGAGAGGAAGTTCTCTAATGGTTCTGTTTATAGGACACTAGTCCCACCAGAAATACCCTGTCCCCATCTAAACCTAATTATTTCCTAAAGGTTTCATCTCCATATACCATCACAGGGGTGGGGTGGGGTGTTGGGGTCTCAACATATGAATTCAGGGTGGAGGGGTGGATATTATACACACCATAGCAGCAAGTCACTGGAAAAATGCACAWAGTATGACCTTACTTATATATAGTTTGAAAAGATGCAAAATTTAGCATTTAGGGATATGAACACATATAGCAAAGTTATGAAGAAAAGGAAAAAATTATTAATATAATTCTGGATAGTGGTTGCTCCTGGTAGAGAGGTGAGATGGGATTGTAGAGGGRCACCAAGCAGTCCTGACAGATAATTCACTGGGAGTTGTTTTAGGATACAGCTAGGAAACTGTAGAAGCCTGAATGAGATAGAAGTTAATTTTCCTCAAATATAATGTCTGGGTAGTTAATCCAGGGCTTGGTACAGCAGCTCCATGATGTCAGAGAAGTGGGTTTCTTTTATTCTATTAGTGTACCATGTTTAGGATGTTAATCTTGAATTTGTGGTCCAAATGGGTGGTCCCAACTCGCGACCAATTGGGAGAGAGCAAAGAGAAGGGGGCTGCACTCCTTTTCCTTCGAAAGCCATGACCTAAGTTTGTATACCTCACTTTTTCTCCCATCCCACAAGCCAGAAAGGGTCACCTGCTAAAATTTCCACTACTATTGAAAAGTGCTAGAATGGATATTAGCAAGCCATCAAGCTATCTSAACCACAGTTTTCAAACTGGGTAGTTCATTTAATCATTACTTATGCCATATATGTGTATAAATATGTATAATTCATGTCATATCTATGTGCAGACACAGACATCTGGCATAAATATTTAAATTTATTTTGCAATATAAAATATTTCATAATTAAAATGTAGCAAAAATAATAAAAAGGAAAAAGAACCATTTTTTCCCCTCATCATGTTCTAGGCTGATTTCCCTTCTTATTGCTATTTGTGGTAAATATTTGGAAATTTCACTTTAATTYAAGGCATGCTGAGGCGCATCTGCCCCTTTTACCTTATCTACTGCATGTAATGCATTCCAATTACCAAAAACAAATAGATTCACAGTTTCCTGTTACTTCACCAGACTCCTTCCCATTAACATGAATTATTACATGGTGATGTGTACATCTATCATAYACAGTATAGTGACAATTTTACCTTTTTGTTTTTTTTTTTAAATTGTAGTTGTATATGGACAGAATACCTTTATTTTGTTTATTTTTATGTGGTGCTGAGAATTGAACCCAGTGCCTTACACGTGCAAAGCAAGTGTTCTGCCACTGAGCTACAGTCTCAGTTCAGTTTTTCCTGTTCTTGAACTAACCTGGTAGCTCACATGAGTTCCTATCTTGGGCACTATTCTGAGTGTCAAGAGTTACTTTCTTTGATTATCACAAACCCTTACAAAATACTCACCATAATCATCTTTATATTATAGATGAGGAAACTGGAGTAAAGGGAGGTTCAGTAATTTCCTAGGATTGCACAGCTAATATTGTGATAAAGCCAGGATTTGAGCCTACACAGTCTAATTCCAGAGTCCATACTCTTAACCACTGCAAAATACCACCCAGTAAGTTGGACAATTAAGTATAAATTGAACAAGACTGATYTGAAAACCCCAAATCCAAAATATTCTAAAATTTGAAACTTTTGGAATKTCGGCATCATGACACCATAAGTGRAATATTMCACACCTGACCTCATGTCAGTCAGGTYTTAGGACACAGAAGCTCTCAAAATACTGTATAAAATTACTTTCAAGCTATGTTTATAACTGCACATAAACATATATGAATTTGGTGTTTTCACTTAGGTCTTTCCATCTCATAATGTATATGCAAATATCCAAATTCTGAAAAAATCCCAAACCTGAAACACATCTGATCTCAAGCATTTTGGATTAGGGATACTCAATCAGTATAAGACTTAGATGGGCATTTTGTCAACAGTAAACTTTTCAGTTTCTATATGTCATGTGGCATTTGTGCCATTACAATT